TTATATCTTAAAAGAAAATTATATAATCTAGTAATCATTTTACCTCCTGTAACATGGAAAAAATTGTTACATACAAACAGTTATTGAACAGACAGGGAGAGATAAAAACTAGACTAGAATTGGCACCACAAGGGGTACAACTAGAATGGTGGTCTTATTTACAGATACAACAAGGTTTGCATAGGATAGGAAAAAGGAAGGTATTGCCAAAGATTACACAATATTAGATAAACTTCAGATAGAGACAGAAGATAGGTTGATCAAACTGCTGCATATATTTTTGCTGGAATATAAACTTTAGGAAGAACATGTCAAAGAAACTATAGTCACCTGGGCGAAAAAGTTTGGTTATAATGTGGATTTGGCTAAATGGGAAAAACTTTGGATACTTAATCAGAAACTAACAATGGTCATGGCTTATAAAGAAAATCTGTATAAGATGTTCTACAGATGGCATCTTCCCCAGCATGGCTTTCCCAAATGTTTAAAAATTTGCACTTCCAAATTGTTGGAAGTGCAAAAAAAAACACTACGCACTTTTTATCATATGTGGTAGACATGCAATGAGGCCAAAACATACTGGAAAATGATACAATCATGGTTGGAACAAATGGTGGGAGATCAAATTTCGGGATTGGGCGGCCTATAAATTTATTAAATACTTAAATACTTAAATTTTATTCAAACCAGAAATTTTTCTCCTAGGTATAATACCGTAGGGGTATAAGAAAGATGCGTTTTATCTAATTATACCTGTACTAACTGTGGCGCGTATAACTTATGCGCAGTATTGTAAAAAAGAAAATACACCACCAGGAGTTAGGTATACTTAGAAAAATTTTGGCCTGTGCGGAAGCAGATAAGCTCACCCTTGAATTAAAAAATAAAGGGGAATCAGAATATTTTGAAGTCTGGAACAGATTCTATTATTGGTATAAGACAAGGTGACAAGATGGGAACAAACTGTAAACAATGTGATTGGATAGAAGGATAGATAATGTATTAAGTAGGCTAACAATTACTGGATGAGATTATTTGTACATAATGTGATTTATGGTTATTTCAACTTTGCAGTGCTGCACTGTTTTAAATGTAAAAACAATATATATTAAAACAAAGATCTAGTTTGATGTAGTAAAGGCATCAGGCTAGGGTTGGGAGTTCTAGTTCCACCTTAGATACAAAGCCAATAGGGTGAACGTGAGCTAATCAGCCCTAGGAAGGCAGTGGTAAATCACTTGTGAAAAATCTTGCCAAGAAAACTGTCGGGACTAGTCCAGGAGTCAGCACTGACTCAAAGAAACCCCCTCCTCCAAAAAGGTAAAGAATAAAACTTACTTTTTTTCAGGAAGTGGTTTAACTCCAACTGACAAAGATGCCATTGCTGTTACGGTTTCTGCTTCTTCATTATCACACTTCTGTGCATCTATCAAAGAATAACTGACTGTTGAAGAATAATGTTGAAGCGAATGCCAATATTTACCTAAAGGAAAATTAAAACTATTATGGAATCATTACTATTATTTTTCTATTAAACAAAGAAAAGCATCATCAAGCTGCAAAATGAAACAGATCTGGGAGATTCTTACTTCTAAGAGGCTTTACAAAATATATATAAATAAAGTAAGAATATATTTCCCTATTTTACTGCAGCTCCATTTGCTCTCTACTCTGTTATTTTCTTGCATCCCTTTTATAAATGAATAAATACAAGGAAATAACGGAGAAAGGGGGAAACAGAGCTGCAGGAAAATAGGAAGACTTATTTTTGTCTAATTTACTGGAACTAGAGAAATGTTCCAAGGACTTCCTGAAAAAATAAAGAAATAAGGAATACAGATTACCGTATTTTTCAGACTATAAAACACATCAGAGTATAAGATGCACCAAGATTTTGAAGAGGTAAATTAAAAAAAAAACATTTTTGCTCTCCCTGGCCCCCAAGAGCACTCTGCAAGCCTTCCAAACCCTTTGCACTTTGTGAAAAAGGGGCAGGAAGAGAGTTTGAAGGCCTGCAAAGTGCTCCTGGGGGCTGGGAAGGGCAAAAATGCGACATGGGGGGTGTTTGGGAGGTGAAAAATGGGCCTGTTTTTCACAAAAATGGGGTGTGACAAGGATGTGGGAAGCCCGAAGAGTGCTCCTGGGGACTGGGAAGGGCTAAAAACAAGCAGAAAAACCCTGGTTTTTTTTTTTTTGCAAAAAACAGGGTGTGCAGAGAGTTTAGAAGGCCTGCAGAGTTCTCCTGGCTTGGGAGGGCAAAAGCAGACCAATTTTTGTGAAAAACAGGCCCAGTTTTTGCTCATGTTTTCCCTCCCCAGATCCCAGGAGCACTTTTCAGGCCTCCCAAACACTCTGCATGTCCGTTTTTGTGAAAAACTGGATGCACAAGGTGGGCTTTTAGGAGGCCAAAAATTCAGTGTATAAGACGCACCCAGATTTTCACTCTCTTTTTGGGGGGGACAAGGTGCGTCTTATACTCCAAAAATACAGTATAGAAAAATATTCTGTCAGACAATTTAAGATATAACATTGGAAAGGAGGAGTTAGGGAATAACTGATCAACAGAAATTCAGAACTGAATAAACAAATATGAAGTGAATCAAAAGCTCTTAAGCTAGTAACATGGTTGTTAGGTTGTTGACTTTCCTTGTCAGAAGTCACAAAAAATAATCGTTTGATCCTGGGACACTGCAACCATCATAAATACATACCATTTGCTAAGCATCTAAATTTGACCATGGGGATCAACATTTGCAAGTGTGAAAAATAATCATAAATCATTTTTTCAGTGCCATAAATTCAAAGGGTCACTAAATGAATGGCTGTATGTTGAGGACTACCTGTTTCCAACAAGTGCTCCATTGAATAAAGTGCCCCATGACAGCCTGATTAAGAATAGTAAAAAGTGAGTAATTAAATAGAAACATAACTGTCTTAAAAATCATATTCAAAGGAAATTCTTAGTTCTTTATCAGATAGACTGCCACAGGGTTTGATCCTCTGCAACATTTCATTAAAGATTAGGCTTCCCAGGGCAGAAAATACCTAGAAGACATTAACTAAAATTCAAGATGAATTTATTAAGTTTCACAAATGTTGACAAAATAATAGAATGAATAAAGATAAGGCGTCTTTGTGGATTTTACTTGGCTAGTTGTTGCTGAGTAATAGCAATAGCAATAGCAGTTAGATTTCTATACCGCTTCATAGGGCTTTCAGCCCTCTCTAAGCGGTTTACAGAGTCAGCATATTGCCCCCAACAACAATCCGGGTCCTCATTTTACCCACCTCGGAAGGATGGAAGGCTGAGTCAACCCTGAGCCGGTGAGATTTAAACAGCCGAACTGCAGAACTGCAGTCAGCTGAAGTAGCCTGCAGTGCTGCATTTAACCACTGCACCACCTCGGCTAATAGGGAGTGGTGCTCATTTCCATTTCAAGGCCATTGGGCCAGCATTGTTCAAAAACATTTCCACAGTCATATGGCCAGCATAATGTCACTGATCACTATTACCTTCCCACTGAAGTGATACCTTTTTATCTACTCGCATTTGCATGCTTTCAAACTGCAAGATTGGCAGGAGCAGGGTCAAGGACTCAGCTCACCCCATCATGTGAGCTCCAGGTCTCAAACCTGGGCTGCCGGCTTTCCAACCAACATCTTAACTGAGCCACCACTCTGCCCAACAGAATGAATAACAGAGTCAAACCAGAACAGAAAAACAAGAAAAGGAAAGAGAAAACAAATGAGAAATATGCTTTGTGAAATTACTGGCTTGGCAGAAATATAGCAAGGGCAATAGCAGTTAGACTTATATACCGCTTCATAGGGCTTTCAGCCCTCTCTCTAAGCGGTTTACAGAGTCAGCATATTGCCCCCACAGTCTGGGTCCTCATTTTACCCACCTCAGAAGAATGGAAGGCTGAGTCAGCCTTGAGCCGGTGAGATTTGAACTGCCGAACTGCAGCTTAGCAGTCAGCTGAAGTGGCTGCAGTACTGCACTCTAACCACTGCGCCACCTCGGCTCTTAAATATACTTTAAATTGATTTTTTACTTGAATCACAAGTTGCGTATGAAATCAATGTAGACTTGAAAGAAGAAAACTGTTTTCAGTTTTCAGACATTTGAATTTGTACCTCTGCAACCGCATGTCAGAAGGTGGACACTATTCAAAGCAATGGAAGGCATGTTCCAACTGAGGTTAAGGAAAGATTAAAAGTAAAAATAATTGGCAGACTGGCTACTTGAGTACATTTCTGCTGGATGTATTCAAGCAGATGTTAGATAAAATTGGGGGGGGGGAGAGGACGGACGACACAAAGGGTTATATGAATATCTTGCAGCGTTTTGAATTCTATAAAGCCTTGATTTAAATGTAGAAGGAAAACTATTGTTTGTAAGTACTCACTGTGTATTTCAATGACCTTCTCAATGGAATGCACTGCATTAATATTTGCTGTCTGCTGTAATATTTTTTCAGGAATAGGATCAAGCTGAGATAATAAAAAATACAATTTAGAATATCACTTTTTAAAATAAATAATGAACATATGATTTGAATAATTTAGATTTAAGTAAAAATATGTGATTTGACATCCTTTGAAGTTATATCCAACTGCCATTTGTGATAATCATTTCTCTTTCTGTTACATTTTCAACCCTGTAATACAAGGCAGACCAATGAAATGAATGGGACCTAAGTAATGTATGACTTTATGGCATGCAGTTATCAGAGGTGTAACTGAGAAAATTAAAAACATTTAGATGATTATTTTAAGTAGATTTATAAGTTTCTTTTATAAGAAACTAGAAAAGTGGAGTAATTTCCCACAGACTCTCTGCACCTTCCCCATTTGCATTGCATTCCACACCAAAAGCATATTAAGCCCTTCAAATATTGGAATACTGCTATCCCTGGTTCTTCTTTTCACTAGACTAGATATACCCTATTCCTGCAATCGTTCTTCATGTGTTCTGGAGCGTTCTCCACCTTGTGGAGCCCATTTTCTGGGGTTGGCTATTCCTGCCAGCTTGGTGCTGTCTGCAAATTTGATATGTTTCCCTTCTATTCCCTCATCTAAATTGTTTATGAAGATATGCAACAGAGGGCAGGACAAGAAACAATGGATGGAAACTAATCAAGGAGAGAAGCAATCTTCAATTAAGGAGGAAACTTCCTAACACTGAGGACAATTAACCAGTGAAACAGCTTGTCTTCAGAAGTTGTGGGTGCTTCATCACTGGAGGTTTTTAAGAAGGGACTGGATGGCTGAAATGGTATAGGAGATGGTATTAGAAGACCACCAAGGTGTCAGCCCTTGAAGCTGGTCCGGATGAGGCCATTTTGGGACTTATTCTTTGAGGAATATACTTGCCTCAGAGTTTTGTTTGCTATGGGTATGTTACTTGAAACCCTGACATAAGTTCCCTTCCAGCTCTATTCTGATTCTAATATTGAAGAGTACTGGGCCTAAGACAGAAACTTGGAATACCCCACTGCTTCCTTCCTTCCATGTAGATGTAAATGTAGTTTGATTAAGGACTATATGTTGAGTGCTGTTTGTCATTTACGAATCCATCTGGTGGTGATGCTGTCTATCCTACATTTTTCTTACTAAGAAATAGGTTGTAGTCTACTTTGTCAAATCAGTATACTATGTCCATAGCATTTTGCTTATCCACTAATTTAGTCCACATTCACATATATGATGAGTACGTTTTAAACATTTCTGAAGTGTGCACAATCCTAGTGCTCAATAGCTATACTATATGCCAGTGATAGCAAATATTTTTGTAAAGGTGTGCCAAAACTATGTGTGCATGCGCTATCGCGCACACGTGCATGCACACACCCAACATTCGATGCGCCTCACCTACCTGCACATGTGCGCATGACCATTGCCCTGCGCATGTCCGCACGACCCTCCTATGGAGGGGAGTTTTGCCCTCCCCAGGCTCTGGAGGCTTTCCTGAAGCCTGGGGAGGGCGAAAACTGCCTCCCCATGTCCTCCAAAAGGCTGAAAATCAGCTGACTGGCACACACATGCTTGCATACCAGCCAGCTATGGCTTGGGTGCCAGGAAATATGGCTCCGTGTGCCACCTGTGGAACACGTGCCATAGGTTCACCATCATGGCTATATACCAAAGTATCTTAGAAAACAAGAAAAAAATCTCAAACTTTTTTTTTCAGTTTTCAATAAAACACTTTCCTGGAGTGTCCATCTATTTAGAACAGTGATGACGAACCTTTTTGGGGTCCTGTGCCAAAAGCGGGCAGAGCACAGGGGGGGTCATGCGCTGGTGTGCCATACCCATAATGCTATGCGCACAATCAGTGACACGCCCCCGCGCGTGCTATGGTTTTTTCGTCTTCCCTAGGCTCCAGAGGCTTTCTCGGAGCCTGGGGAAGGGGAAAACAGCCCTCCCTGACCCCTCCGGACACTCTCCAGAGGCCTCAGGAGCTTCCTTGAAGCCTCTGGAGGGTGAAAAACTGATCTTCGGGGAATCCAGAAGTTCAGGAATGGTGACTTCCAGTTTGTCAGTAGGGCCAATTTTAGAGCCATCATGGGCCTTCAGGAGGGTTCCATGAAGGGCAAAAATAGTCCTATGAGTAAACATTGCCCGTAGGGCCGGTTTTTCATGCTTTGGAGGCTTGAGGGAAGCCTCTGGGGGGCAAAACACGGCCTCAAAAGAAGACTGACAGGGCGAAGTCTCGTGTGGCCTGACAAATGGCTCCGCATGCCACCTGTGGCATGCGCGCCATAGGTTCGCCAAGATGGATCTATATTGTAGTTTGGAGTTTGATTCAGAAAAATTAATTTTCTCCCTAATTCTCCCTAAGGTTATTTTTTTTTTTATTTTTTTCCCTTCTACAACATCTTAGTCATTATATCAACATTATTATGTCATCATACCTGTACATGTATGTATTATTTCACTTCTATGTTTACCCATCTTTATACACAGTTCTATGTATTTATATATATATATTTTGTTGTATTTGTTACAACAAAAAGGCAACAGTAAAAATATTGGGTTAATGCCTGGATGGTCTCTTGTGATGAGCCGAAGGACAGAGAATGGAAGTAGTGATCTTCCTCCCATATTTGGGCGTACCGGGGGTTGTAAACATCATAATATCCCGACTCTTCTTTATCTTTTAATTTTAGTGTTAATTTGTCCATTTCTGCACAATCCAAAAAATTTTGTATCACTAATTCGTCCGAGGGGATATTATTTTGTTTCCAACATTGGGCAAATGCTATTCTAGCTGTGGTCAGCAGATGTGTTAATATGTACTTAATTTTCTTTGTATATTTATTTCCCTTTGATTATTCCCAGCAGAAAGAGTTCAGGT